ATATACCTTTCTTCTTTGTCGATATGTGCAGATTGCATCATGAAGTTTTCCTTCACCGTAAGAACGTCCGTCGGGTATTTTATGTGCATATAAAAATTCCCAAATATAAAATCGTATTGGTCTATGACGGGATCCGAACCCAAGACCTGTAGATTACAAGTCAAGTGCTTAAACCAATGAGCCACCGATAATTTTAGCTCGACAATAAAACATTTAAATCTCGTGAAAGGTACAAATGGACTTCCGAGGGCGATCCTATCCGATCTAGTTAGGTCTAGGAGAGACTGGTCCCTTACCTCTCGACGTGTGATGTATACTTTGTGTCGTGCGATTTCGATCTTTTGTGTACGGTTACATAATTCGTTAATATTTCAGGTATGGAGCACAACTTCGAGCATTACGATAGAAACATCGTACACAACATGGGTTTGCCTTACGAATACACAAGCTGTATGCACTATGGACCGTACGGATTTAGCACGAACGGAGAGCCTACTATCGTACCAATAAGGGTAAATATTATTTATCTTGTTTACATTATAGGCCCCTGGAAAAATCCTTGAAGTGTTGCTTAGATAGAACGGTATCTAACTAGTTGTGTTTATTTAAGATCTTTGTATGCTATATTTACAGAGTTTCGAAGGTGTGATGGGTCAGCAAGAATACGTAACTGAATACGACTGGCTTAGAACGAGAAGACACTACAATTGTCCCAATGGATGGTCTAGAGACAATCCTGAGTTAGAGGAGCAGAAAGTTAACTTCGTCGAAGAAGGTCAAGAGGTCCCATATGATGAATAAATGGATGACTAAAGGATTTTAGTAATACACGATTTTTCTTAATCTGGCCTTTCTTTGTCTCCTTAATTAACTAATCTTTGACAATGCCTGAAATACTCTATGTCTAGGATAATGGGCTAAGAAAGTAAAGGATTACGCATGAAACAAAGTTAGCATTATACCGTTTTGGCTGTAAAACCAACGGTTTTTTTTTTTTTTTTTTTTTTT